GTCTGGCTTACATTTCTTTAGGATAATTGTAGAGTGAATTTCCAAAACCATTTCAATTGCCTGCTTGTTCTACAGCTTGCTTATGATATGATCCTGCTGGCCCTAAAGGAAATTCTTTTCAACAAAGATTGCTAAACGATGTTTTTAGAAGTTTATTTTAAGAAATGTTGCAATCTTTAATATATATTTTAAATATTGAATAAGTCTTTCCTTCAGTTTTTCAGTTTTATCTTTCTTCAGATTACTGCCAATCAAATTTAATTGAATTTGGAAGTTATACTACATATATAAAATGACATGTATTGAAAAATATATGGGGATATAATTTTCTAAATGAAATAGTTTCTTACGTACTATATATACCACAATGTAACACATTGAACATACAAAATTAAGGAAATAACCTGCCAACATATTACACAGTTAAAATATTTCTTTCAAAGATGGAGTTGAACAAAGATATTCTCAAGAAAACAAAGCTGAGAAAACTTTTTGCCAGCAAATTGAACTACAAGAAATACTGAAAGTATTTCACTATGCTGAGGAAAACTAATTCTGGACTTGAGTCCACAGTGCAAGAAGAAAGCAACACCTCAAGAAAGGGCAATAAGTGAATAAAAATAAAAGGCAATCGAATGCACAAAGCAACCATAATGACAATATCGGAGAGGTTTCTAACACATGCAGAAGTAAAATATGCAACAACAGTTGGGAGAAAAAAACTAAAAGGATACAGGAATTTACATTATTGCAAGTTTCTTGTATTGTTTGGGATGAGACAAAAGTACTAGTTTAAGATAAGTCAGCAATAATTTAACAAATTTTAAAATAATAGGAGAAAGCACTAGTTAGAGATAGAAAAAATATATTACCAAAATGCTAATAGAGATGGTCAAACAGAACACTAAGAAAAAATTTGATTAATATAAAAGAATACAGGAAATAAGGAATCAAGGAATGAGGAACAGATGTGACAAATAGGAAACAAATAGCAAGGTGGTAAACTTAAACCCAACTATAGCAATAATAACCTGAAATATGAATGGACCAAATGTTCCAATTAAAAGACGAAGATAAGGTAGACAGAGAGAGAGAGAGAAAGAAATCTAGTTATATGCTGTTTCTAAGAAACAACTTTAAAATGATAGGTTGAAAGTAAAATAATTGAAAAAAACACCATGAAAAAACTAACCCAAGAGAAGATAGTGTGATTGTGTTAATACTGAATCAAGTAAACTTTAAGACACGGCCAAAATATGAGGAGTCCCCCAAAACCCACTTTAAATACAAACCCCAAAATGACCAAAGAAAGTACAACAGTGGAAAAATATATACCAAAAATAAACTGGAGTGCCTCTCTTAATTTCAGGTAAGGTTTAAGGCAAGAAGTATTATGAATGATAAAGCAGAATGTTTTACAACGATAAAATAGTCAACAGAATGATATGACTATCTTAAATTTTGAGGCACATAACATAGCTTCAAATTATATAAAGTAAAAATTAACAGAAATAAAGAGAGAAAGACACAAAATAAAAATCATGCTAGAGATTTTTAACATGCTTCTTTTGGTAGGGGGAGAAAAGTAAGAATTTAAAAGATTTTGACAACATTGCTAAGCAAATTTATTTACTTGCTATATAGGGAATGCCAAACAAATAACTGTAAAATACACATTCTTTTTATATGATCCCAACATGTCTAGCACAATAATGTATATTATAGGCCATAAAGCAATTTTCAATAAATTTTAGTTAAGAAATAATGAAGTATATATTCTCTAACCATTTCTACAAATAACTTAACACTCAATAATGATAGATGATTAGAAAACCCCCAAGTATTTGTTAACAAAGCAACTAACTACTAAATAATCCACAGGACAAAGTAAAATTCCAATGAATATTAGAAAATATGTTGAGATGAAAATTATGAAATTATAGTATAACAAAATTTGTGGGATATAGATAAAGCAATTCTGAGGGACAAATTTAGTACTTTAAAATACACATATCAGACAAAAAGGAAGCTCCCAACACATGAAACAAGAAAAATTGTGCAAATCACCTAAAATGACAAGGTAACCGTAACACTACAGCAACAATACTATCCCATCCATAGGCATGTAGATCGTGGAACAGAATTTAAAGTCCAGAACAGCTCCACATGTTTACAGACTCTTGACTGATGACAAAGATGTCACCAAAACTTATTATGCAAAAAGTGTTTAGTTTTTCCTATGAGTGGTGCTGGAGCAATTGGATATCCATATGGGAAAAAATAAATGAACCCTAATCCTATCTTATGCCATATGGAAAAATTAACTTGAAGTTGGTTATAGATTTTATCAGGTTAACCAGATTAATAATAAAACTAAAACAATCAACATTCTATAAAAAAACAACACTGAGGGGAACATCTTGATGAGCTTGGAGTAGCAAAATATTTTTTAAATATTAATAAACATAAAACATGAATCATAAAGGAAGGTAATTCATATAGTACATTCATTAAAATACGGAACTTCTGCTCATCAAAAGAAATCAGCCTTAAAGTAAATCGGCGAGTCGCAGAAAGGCAGAAGACATTCTAGATATAAACATCTGAAAGTGATCTGTATCCAGAATATATGAAGAATCCTAGAAAGTAGCAGAAAAGGCAAAGAACACAATTAAGAAATGGAGCAGTTTCATAAAAGCACTTTACAAGTGAGTGTATCTAAATGATCGATATCACCTGAAAAGATATTCAACGTCATTAATCATCAAGGAGAGAAAGATTAAAATTACAAGGAGATTACAGAACACACCCCAGAATGGCTAAAGTTAAGAAAAAACTGACAAGATGATGTATTGATGAGAAAGTAGTGCTACTAGAATCTTCATACATTGTTGATGAAATTATCAACTTGATCGATTTTGAAAAAAATGCTTAGGAGTATCTACTAAAGCTAAACATACATATCCCCTATGATTCATACCACTCCTATGAAAAATTAGTGCACAAATCCAGCAAAAGATATTTGCACAAATATTTATAGCAAGTTTATTCATATAGCTAAAATCTGGAAAGAACCCAAATGCACCAAGAAAAGGATAGACAATTTATAATATATTCATAATGGCATTCTACTACACAGTAATAAATAAAAGATCAGTCAACAGATATATAACATGGATGAATCCCAAAAGTATCATGCTGAACAAAAAGAGGAAGATAGAAAAGAATATATAGAGTATTCATATTTTAATTTGAATTTCAACCACAGCAAAACCAATACGTGATGGTAAAAATCGGTACGGTAGTTATAATAGTTAGCTCTGCTGTTTACTGACAGCATGAAAGAATCTTCTGGGGTGATGAAATCATTCTCTCTTAGATTTTTTAAATCTTAAATAAACAATAATGAAAACAAAATATATTACTTAGGTATGGATCAACACTGGAAATCTGCTAACATTCAAATACAAAAGCAGATAAAATACTATATGATTTTATAAATTACTGTAAAAATTTTGTTATACTAGAAAACAAAAAATAGCCAGCCCTGGTAGTCTAGTGGTTAAGACTTGGTGCTCTCATCTCCAGGACCCAGGTTCATTTCCTGGTCAGGGATCCACATCAGTTACCTGTGGGGCGTCACACTGTGGTGGTTGTGTGTTGCTGTGATGCTGAAAGCTGTGCCACTGGGATTTCAAATCCAAGCAGGGTCACCCATGGCGGACAGGCTTCAGCAGAGCTTCCAGACTAGACAGGCTGGGAAGAAGGACCTGGCCGTCCACTTCCGAAAAAGTTGGCCATGAAACCCTGGGAATAGCAGCAGGGCACTGTCTGATACAGGGCCCGAAGATGAGAGGATGGCGCAAAAGACAGGGCAGCGTTCTGCTCTGCTGTGCACAGGGTCACTAGGAGTCAGAATCGACTTGCTGGCACTAACAACAAACAAAAAAATAAAAGTACCTTCTTCAATAGCAACACTAACTCTATGTTACCTAGAAATAATTTTTTTTTAAATAATATCTCTGGACTATCTGGTAAAAATTTCAAAGCATTATTAAAAAACAAAACAAAAACATAAAAAGGCTAGTGAATAAGTAGATGCTACATGCTCATGAATAGGAAGATACAGTATCTAAAAGATAATAATTCTTTCAAAAATTGATCTAGGATTCTACACAATTTCAATTAAAATCCAGTCAGGGTTTTTCATGAAAGCCAAAAGAGACAGGGAGAGTTCCTTATCAGATATCAAGATTTATAGTAAATCATTAGTAATAAACCCTGGGCGATACAGCACTTAGATACACTAATAGACAAATGAACATAACAAAAACACATAAACAGACAATACTATGTGATAAATGACAGAATTTACATCAATAAACAGATGGTATATGATAGAGTACTCAATACCAAAATTGGAAAAGTAAGCATAACTTTTAAGAGACATTACAAGAAAATAATCTAACCATATTAAAATTACTAACTTGCCTTCTTAAAATATAATATAGACACAAACATGAAGAAAAACAATGCCACAATGAAAATGAATAACAAAGACCAAATATCCAAAATGTATATTTAAAAGAGAAAACCCCTACAAAGTATTGAGGAATCAGCCCAAGAACATGGGTAGTCAATTACAAAAGAGAAAATCTAAGTGCTCAATAAATATAAGAAAATTTGTTCATTTTTAGTAGTCATATGTGAAAGCAAATTAAAGAAGCATTGAAATAATATTCCATACTTAAGATCAACTAATATTAAATATTCTTAGAATACAGTGTTGATAAAGATGTGGAAGATAAGCAATTTTCGTTCACTTAGCTAAAGATTTTGATAATTAATGAAGTCGGAAATGATCAGTTTCAAGTGGAAGAAACCGTGGAAACTTATCCATAGGATGTGCCGTCTGTGATGGGCCTGACGTCAGATATTGACGAGTCGGGGGAAACAGGAGAGAGCTTGAAGGAGAGATAAAAAAGTCAGAGAAACATTACAGGCATGATTGCTCTTCCACCGGGATCCTGCGTGTTGACCTTTCTAGTATGTGGACACTCTCAAGTGGAAAGAAAAGGTGTTAAAATCACTTTTATAAACTTGGTTACGTTACTTCCCTTCATTACAAAACAGAGGTACAACAATGGTATCCGAGGTCTTTTCCAGAGAGAGCATTGCTGTAGGTCACAGTCCATAGAGAAGGCTGTGCGCATGGAGAATGTAGAATCATGCATTAATGAATTGAAGCTTCTAGATTGTGGGTGAAAGGACATTCCAGGAAGCAGTTGGCTGAAGGGGTTTTTTACCCATGTATTTCTGAGCTTTATCGGTACTGAGAAAGTGGCTCAAATTACACTGTGTTCAGTGCAGAGCTGATGACCGTCATAGGGCAGAGATGATGACCCTCATTTGGAGGGTCAAAGCTCATGAGCTTCCAATGCTGCTTTGACCAGAGATGTTTAGCTCTTACGTTTTTTACATATTAGGTCCCAATGTGTTATTTTATTTTAATAAAGGAATGCAATGCAAACAAACAACTTTGGTAACCACCTGCTCATAGTTACATAATGCCAAGAAGAAGACACTTGGGCTCAAAGTCTCCCAGCCAGGTGATTGAATGACTGGAATTGGAAATATGATCTTCCGATCTTCAGCCCTATGTTCATCACAGAAAAAATCTACAGAAAAATCAGTGAGCACCAGAGTGGAATGAGCCAATGCACTCTGTGCGCATCTCTGCTCCGTACGTATTCGATCATGAAAATACAGATGGAGGGAGAAGGTGCTGCAGAGGACAGGCATGTGGACACACAGACCTGGCTCAGGCTTGTAGGCTGATTCCATGTATTAGCTGTGACTAATAATTTCAATTAAAATTGAAATTCTGAAAAACATTTGGCTGAAATGAAGCTAAACGAAATGCTTTCTAGTATTTTTACTTCACAGATTTCAACCTGCCACTGGCATAGTGCTATCACGTTACAGCGAATATTCTGTCTTTCTCCCTCCACGCTCCACTCAGAGCTGTACTTGCAGTTTTCAAACAAGCCATGCTGTTGGAGGCTTCCTTTCTTCCACAACCTATCTGCTGCCTGGGAATTTTTCACTAGGATGACTTCTCCTTAGAGCTACCGCCTATCTATTCTTCAGGATAGAGCTTAAGGTTTTCTTTCTAGAAAACTTTACTCAGTCTTATTTAAACATTCGTCTATTTTGCTCCCATAGCACTATGTGCATTACTTTCTCATGTCATTTATCTCAATGTAAAATAAATATTTATGAACATTTTCATGTCTCCTATTAGGCGGAGAGTTGATTAAGGTAAATGCCCAGCAGTATATGGTATTTTGTGTGCACGTAGTAAACATTTTTTTTAAATGAATGTATGAAAAAAGGTAGTAAAAATACTGTTTGGATGATGGTATGGGTGATCAATAAATAGAATCGATATTTATGTAGCGAGGAAAATAAAGTATTGACTTAGTTTAAAAGATAATACAAGATCAGTTTTAGTCTTGTCAGAAATCAGTGATCAAATAATAGAAACTTTTATAGTATATATTTATATTAGACAAATTTGCTGTTGTTTGAAGTAATCACCCAGTAGGTACCACATCAAACTATCAATATCATACAAGGAAATTTTACATTTATATATGTGTGCATACACATGAATAATGAATACATATTGAATCAAAATATGTGGAGATGGGCCCAGAAATTAGGCTCCCTGGCTCAAATCAATCACTGACCACATGGTTCTTATCTACGGATGGTATATGATAACAGAACCTCCAGCACAAATCAAGACAAGATTCCACAAAGAGATCTCCTCTTTATAACCATAGTGAGAGGTGGCCTTGTCTCTACTAGCATCTCATACCTTCAGTGTTTCTCTACTCCAGACCTTGGTGGACATTTCTATGGGATTAAAACTATTTGGCTGAAAGCAGTTACAGGACCACCTTAACTCATCAAGATGACTTTTTTTCTTTCCCTTAGAATAAGTAGAATCTCTCTTTGACCATTACTTCCAAAGATGAATTACTTAAACAACATTACTGCCTAAGTGCATCTTGTCTTGAGCCTTTCCGTAGACTGGGCAAATTTAATTCTCATCCTAGATTCAATTATTTATATTTCTCTCCAAAACACTGTGAGCAAGCGCTCCAGTGTATTTTTATTCATCTTTCTGTACAGTAAATGCCATCATAATTACAGTTTGCTCTAAAGCCAGGTTTGATAGGACGATCAGGTCACCCTATATTCAGACATATTTAATTATCTCTTATGGGTGACTGGTCACAAATTCAATAGAACTTACGTGCATGCTTTGCATAGGTCCCCATAGAGATGGTCATGCCCTACCAATCGCCCGGAAGCAGTAAAGCTAGTTGGTCATGCTCTGCTGCACATTGTCTTTTTGTCACGGAAACCAATAATTCTCTCTGTGGGATCTTGGATTTGAGTTCGTGTGTATTTAGGCAGTAATTACTTGGATAGTAGAATTATGCAAAGAGGTAAACAGTTTCTGAATCAATCAACACCTAGACTGTTGGTGTAGTTTATTGATATTTTAGTAATTTTCTTCCCATTTTCAAAAGAAAAACATAAAAATAATAATTATTCTGATAACGCTCCCAGGACAGATTTACTCTCATGTCAATGATTTACAGAAAGCAAATATGCTTGAGAGATGGAACTGCCTCTTGTTCCTTTCACAGTTTTTCATGTTTCATATGTAGCAACCTAGGCATATCATACTTCTTTCAAAAATGACAATTTATACCCTTCTATAAAACATGCATGATCAGGATAATATCTCATAAAAAGCTAAATATTATTATGGCTTTCACTTGTTGTCGCGTAAGATCAATGGCAAAATGACTTACAGATCATATGTTGCATCTAAAATTCCAGTATTTGCTAGGCGAATAGGATGTGAGCACGTAGAAATCTAATGGATGTTATACGTTCAATTTCCCAAGGTTATATAGGACCTTTGTGAGTCATAGCAATGCATGGAAAATGAGTATAATCATAGATATAAGAATATACATATGTGTGCATATTTTTTAAATAACTGTTTGTAGACTCCAACTCATGTAGCAACGTGAGCTTGGTGAACCCTGAGCACATTGCAAGGGAGCACCAGTAAGGGGAGCAAAGATAGAAGTCTACAAAAGAGTTCCTTTCATCAACAATTTCTTCCTGTGGTTAAAGATTTTTTTCAAGATGGGTAAAATATTGCTTTATTGTACAAAGTCGATGAAAATTTAATACGCTAATGTTTCTTGGGAGTACCCCAACATAAAGAAAGAGATAAAAGAAGCAGAATTTTCTAAACTTATTCCACTTTCAGGGAACACGTCATTGGACTAGTGTTCCATGAAGCACATTTTTGGATAAATTTATTTAATGGCATAAGTAGTTCTATGACCAAGTCTAGTTAGGGATGTGCAAGGAGTTAAGGAAATGTTTTCGTAACAATGAAAATCATGCCCAATACAGATGGCTAAGTCTAGGAGATCTATTCACACCTGTGTTCAGAGACAAAGACAGAAAATAGAGGCAATAATGAAAGTGAGAAATGGCAAGGGAGGTAAAGACATAAGCCTGATGGAAAATAAAGTGGAACCAAAGGAATTATGCAATGCAAAATGAATTTTAAAGATATGATGAACTGAACAATGAAAGCAGGCAAACCTAGGTTAGAATCTAGGCTTTATAACTGCTTTACTTAGGCAAGTGAAATAAACTCTCTGACCCTTGTTTCTTTGTTGATAAAACGGGACTATTATATCACAGAGATTCAATAAAATCATAGAAGCCAGAGCTTGGCACATGGCAGTTGGCCAATAAAAGGTTGTTATTATAGGTATGTTTAATGTGCACAATTAAAATGCAATGACTATTTTCTGACTTCTTAAGAACATACATTCTTAAAACTGTAACCACACACCAGTGCCATTTCATAATCCTGCAAGCATGTATTTGTAACTGTAATGGCACTGCTGAAAAGCCATAAAAACGCTGGTCTGTGGAATCTACCTCTGTAACTGGCAATGAACCTGGTAGTAGAGCAGAACATTTATGGGAAAAAGAAAATATGGGCAAAAGGTGGAAGAGAAATGAGAGGCTCCCCAAATTCTGTAACCACAGAGTTCATTTCTGGCCATTCATATCATTGTCTATATAATAGGAGGGGACTATCGCGACAAAGCACAGGCAGAGTTAAATGTGAGTGATTTTGTTGAAGCCGAAGTTATTCCAGTTTTGTCTGCTATCACACATCTTCCTAATAAGAAAAATTTCAGTGCTTTAGTGGTGGTCTTTAAGGAGAAGTGGATAAAGAAACTTTATACATTTGAAATATATGCTATGGAAATTCAGAAGAAAGAAAATAACTTGAATAACAATATCATATGGGCACAAACTGAGGCTCTCAAGACCATCTCTTTTATCTGGGTAATTAATACCTCAGGACTGTCACTCCTGGACACCTCCTGCTGGACTCTCCTACTTCCTTTATGGTTATTTCCTGTGATGATTTTGTACCTCTGGTTTTATTTTTCTCTTACTATTCCTTATAGAGATTTGAACTTAATAAGCAGAGTTGGACATATTCAGAACCAAATTTTTTTTAATTAGCGGTAATTAACATCCACATTATTCATTTTGCTTAAAGCATCATTTTCTTTTGTAAAGTTCCTGAGCTTCAAAGGCGACTGTTACTCTATCAGTATTCATTTTTTTATGCATAAAGATGTTATTAAAACATGGCCAAAAAGTCAATGCATTTTCTCCCATTAGATAAAAAGTAAAATCTTCCCGTGGCCTGTGGTGTGTGCCAAGCCAGCCCTAACACATTCTCTTTTCTTCTTGCCTGCGCTCCAGCTATATTGCCCTTCTTTGTTGAGTTCCATTTCCTTAAAAATAATTTCCCTGAAACCAATAGCACGACCATTCCCACTCTGTTGTCCATAGTATCCTGTATTTAGCTTTCATAATAGGTACCTCGGTGCATAATTGTCTTTAAGATTATTTGAATGATTACTGCATTCTACTTAATTATAAGATCCATAATTGCAGACAATGACACATAATAATAACATAGTTTAGAATGAATAATATGCAGTAATAATTTTATAATAATTGACCAAATCTATTATACCTTCAAAGATTATAGAAATTTTCCAATCTTGAAAATGGGTAATAAAAATAAAGACAAACATATTTAACTTATTTTAAATAATCCATAATTCGAGTCTAACTATTCACAGTTTCATATTTCTTGTTCTTTTGGCCTCATCTACTTGAGGGTCTGATTCCATTAAGACTGAGAAAAAATCCAAGACTTATTCAATCTCATTTTGACACCAAGAACGAAAAGAGACCATCAAGGAGGGCTTCTTAAAAGTACTAAGGATCTGACCTTTGGTTATATAAAGAAGAGTTTCACTTTTGTCTCAAGGTCTCCAAGGCTTGGCAGAAATTGTCTCCACCTGTCATTTATCTCTCTCTCTCAAGTAAATTAAGTTACTGCTGTGACTGCTGAGGACTGTCATCTCTTCTTTATAAGCATATATCAGATCAAGATTTTTTGAAACTGACTTTGTTCGACCTTCCAGGCAGATGACATATTTGAAGAAGTCCTTGTGAAGAGGGGTGCAGCGTTCTCCTCGCCCGTGGGTTCATATGAAACATTGATAATGGCTCTCTTGCTTTATGTTAAAATATATTTACCAGCCAATTCCTTAGTTAGTTTTTCAAAATATTTTAAAGAGTGTTAAGATAGGTAAAACTTACATATTATTGCATCAGAATATTATTACCATCTTTTATTTGACCATTTATAATGAGTTACGGAGTTTTCATTTGACATTGAAAAAGTATTTCTGAAAATAAAACAAGTAAGCTCTTAGAGAGGAAAGTGAAATCAAAGAAAAATCTTTCTTCATTTATGTCTTTCTTCAACCACACACACACATATGCACACATGCACACATTTGTATATATATATATGTATAGCTTCATATACATGTTTACATTAATGTGTATATAATAAAATATATAATTCATATATAATAATAATATATATGCCTCAGTAATCTAATTCATTTATATTTATAAACACACACATGTTTAGTATACATGTATATATATATACACTGTCAACTTCCTGTTCAAGTATTTAGAAGTATACTGAAGAAAGAATATCACATCAATTGCTTGTCTGAGAGTAAGTCATGATGGAAAGGATAGGAAAGAGAAAGGGTGGCAGGCCAGCATACATCTGAATAAGAAAGGGACCACCTGTGACAGAGGAGGTAATTAAAAATATACTCTGGAACACAAAAGACGTGTTTCCAATCTTCATAATTATGCTTCGGGCTAACATTATACAGACACCGTGAGGACCTGATAACAGCAAAATGTGTTCATTCATCCCAAAATTTGTATCTAACACATTAGGAGCTCTCATGCATTATCAACTGGTGATTTTATTATTCTAATTATCACTGACATCTTTTCTGTCACTTTCCCATTGCTAAACTATCTCAAAAACATAAAATGGCTCCCTATTTGTGACTGATAAAAGAAAACTCATAGGGAATCCACGAGTTTGTTTTAGGGAGACATTGCCCTTTCAGCAGAGCCACTCCTCTGCAGCTCCTATCCCGATATTTTCTCTGGAGTGTCTGACCTTCATCCCCCTCCCTCAGGGATGAAACCTTAGGACGAAACTATGTTAAGGGCTTCGTAAAACTGCCTACATATTTCTGGTCACCAAAGAAAGTCCCCAATTATCAGATCATCCTTGTCTCTGGAAAATTCAGTCAGACCCTCATGGAGTGAACAGCTACTTAACAGTGTGCAGAACATTATTGTAGATAATCTTGGGAATAAAAAGATGAATCAGATTCGGGCCCTGCCTTTGCAGGTCAAAATAGAAATTTTGTTAAAGATGTGTTAATGTTCTTGCCACTCTCCATATACTTAGGTAACGTGAATTGGCATTTCCTGATTTGTCAAGAGGTATCAAATACCTTAAAAATATGTATTTTGTATGAACTGTAGTCTTACCTTTATGAATTTATCTTGAGGAAAGACTCAGGAGTATGTGCATAGATTTAACTGTAAAAGTACTCATTAAAACATCATAAATATTCCAACAGACCAGCAATCCATAATTGGTTAATAATACCTAACATTTCTCTTCCATATGCCAGAAAGTGCATATTATTTTTGTCTGTGTAAGAATGCCTATTATTCCTCTTCAGAGGCACGTGGCCTGCTAGGTCCCTTTCCTAGGGTCACATAGCTGACTGGTACAGGGCAGACTTGTGCTCAGAACTTATGTGGTGAGCCAGGAAGCCGTTCGCCCAATTCCGAACAAGTCTAACTCTTACTCGTCCTCTGAATTGGAGCTCAGCCTCTGCTTAAAGGCCCCTCCCCAGCAAGGGAGACTTCCTTGAGCGCTGTCTCTAAATCGCCCCTTAGCTTTCCGCTTGTTCTTTGTCACAACAGTCAATTTATTTCCTTCGTTGCATTTGTCAGAGTATTTTTTCTTTCTTAAATCAGTCTAACAGCTTTTAGAGAGGTACTACAAAATTATTCTACTGTAAGTGTACAGTGTTTAAGTAAATTTGTGGAGTTGGACAACCATCACCACTAAACAGTTTTAAAACATATTAAGCCCAACAACTTCCATTGAGCCCATTTGCCACCAATCCCAGCTCACACCCACAGCCCCAGGAAAGCACTTGTCTACCTCTATAAGTTTGCCTTTTCTGGAAAATTCATGTATACAGAATCATACGTGTGTTTTTTCATTTGTTTGGGTGTTTTTAATGTTGTAGCTTGCATCAGGGGTCTGTTCCTTTTTATTGCTGAACAGTATCCTATATATGGCTGTACTACTCTTTATCCTTTCATTATTCGATGGACATTAGGATTGTTTCCAGTTTGGGGCTATAATGAATAATTTTATGAATGTTGGCATGCTAGTCTTGGTGTAAACATGTTCTTTCATTTCTTCTGTGTAGATTTCCAGAATTGGAATTGTTAAGTTTGTAGGGTAAGCCTATGTTCAATTAAGAAAATGCCGAAATGTTTTCCAAAGATTCTGGGCCATTTGACATCCCCACCAGCCTGAAGGCTTCAATTTCTCTCCATCTTTGCCCACTCTTGGTGTTGTCTTTGGATAATAGCCACTCAAGTGTGTGTGCACTGGATCTCATTTTGGTTTTAATCTTCACTACCTGAACAACTAATCAAGAATATTTTTTAACTTATTGTATATTTAGCCTTCCACAACAGAATATAGGGTCTTTGAGAACAGGGACCATGACTGTGTCATTCTAACAGAGTGGTTGTACATAGAAGGCACTAAATAATCAGTGATGAAATGCATCCATATAATAAGGAATTAAATTGATTCATGTGAGTAATGTCAAATTCCCTTGATACGGCGTTATATTCAGTGAATTAACAGTGGATCATAAAATATGTGCAGGCTGATTTGACTTTTCATTTGTAAAATATATAGCATATCTAAATTAAAATGTTGATTATCCCTGGATGGTGTGTTTGGTTGTCAGTTTGTCCTGATGTGAATTTGTTATATGTAATCTATGAGGGAAAAGGTTTAAAAACCAATGTGTAATATTTACTCAGTTCAAGAATATCCTCATGCGGCCTTCCAGCCTGTGTGTGAACAGTTATTGACAGGGAGCTCATCACCTGGCACTTATCCACATCACCAATTCTGTGGAATTTCTTTACTAAATCCTACTCACTGCAACTTCCTCTGTTCTTGTGTCTATCCTCCAATAAGAGGGGATCCTGCATTCATACCAAGAGCATTTCTGACTTCAGTCTCTATTTCTTTTTTTTTTTTTTGAGGAAGATTAGCCCTAAGTTAACTACTGCCAATCCTCCTCTTTTTGCTGAGGAAGACCGGCCCTGAGCTAACATCCATGACCATCTTCCTCTGCTTTGTATGTGGGACGCCTACCACAGCATGGCTTTTGCCAAGCAGTGCCATGTCTGCACCCGAGATCCTAATCGGTGAACCCCGGGCTACCAAGAAGCGGAACAAGCACACTTGACAACTATGCCACCGGGCCGGCCCCCAGTCTCTATTTCTTTAAGGCTCTCATTACCAGGTTCTTCAGGTTTTGTCATCTGACATGATTCCTGGATATCTCACCATCCCCTTTTGCCACCTCAAAACTCGCCTTACATTATCAAAGAATTGTGGCATATAACCACCGTTTCTGGAAACAATACTCAGAAGAGCACATTAGGACTAATAATAAAACAGTAACTACCACTTTGGAAATGCACTATATGCAATACACCGTGCCAAGTGTTTTAGGTACATATGTAACAAACTTTACAACAAGTGCGTGTATCTATTATTTCCATTTTATAAATGAAAACACTGAGGTACGGGGAAACGAGAAAATCACACAAGATCTAATAATTAGTAAGTAAAAGCATTTGAATTTTCGTTCAAGTGTGTCTGGTTCCACAGCTCTTGTTCTGCTCTTGAGCTGAACACTGAGCTTGTGTTCTGCTCTTCTGAACCCTTATGATTTCCAGAGAGAAAGTTCGATTTGGCTAAGATGAGAGAGCCTCTTTACAGATTAGGATTTTTTGCTGGATGATCAGATTCCCATTCTCAGCCCCATTTCCAAAATCTGCAAAGATAAAACATGTTACTAAGGAAATAAATTTTAGAGGAAGTTGGTTGACGTCAGAACTCTAAAAAATTTGATGCTTTCTCAGTAAATGACTGGTACTCTGGCATCTCTAACACTTAGGAGAATTGGCTCCTACAGAAGCCAATAACAGAATTTTTGTTGTCAGAGTTGGATGGATTTTCTCTTCCTCTCGCTGCACCTTCTCCTGTCTTAGAGATGCCCCATTCATAAGCTCAAATTCTGGACCTGAGCAGACCCGGGAATACATCATGGCCTTCTTGCCCTGAGGCAGGTTGGTTACCCTCTTCCCATTTGGGGACATTAGGGCTTTTCTTCCCATGGAAGGCAATATGTCTTTCTTCCTGGCTCCAGGCAGCCACAGACACAACTAGGAAATATCAACTCCCAGCCCCTTCTGCCTCTTGTTAGACCAAGGGCTCTCTCACAGCTGAGGGCTAATGCAGTGGAAACCCACAAGATGGGCTCCTTCAAGCCTTTGCCAGCCTGAGGGCTCAGGGGTCTGTAACCCAAGGCTGCTGTTTCCACACTGTTACATTCCAGCTACATTCTGGTTTCAAGGCCTCAATAACTGAGGCTATTAATGCAGACAGTATGCATAATGCAGGCAAACCTCTAAGTGACCATCTCTAAGAAATCCTCAGAGACTCCCTGCAGGAGACAGAAAGACACTTCCTGAGAATAAAGTATTCATGGAAAGAGGAGAGACCGTCCAGTCCTTTCGCTTCCACTATCAGTAACTGTTTCTCAAAACACTTGGACTATCAAAGTTGGGATAAAAGTCTAAGATCAAGGAAGTTCATGGATTTTCATGTGGTACCTGAGTTCCCCCACGGGTATCAGTTATTCACAGAAGATAACTCTTCACTCAATGACCCAGTTGAAATTTCCAGGGAACCTGTTTTCTGAGATCCTAAGAAATACGTAGACCAAATATTCTCAGAAATAATGCCGGTGGCAGCTATACATTTCTATAGGCCACCAACTCCATGTGGATATGGGAATCTATAAGGAAGCCAGTGCCTCAATAATTTCGCACAAAAATGCCCAAGCTGGGAGGGCCATTCTAACCAGTGGCAGGAGCCACAGCCTGGGCTGAAATCAGATTTCTAGAAGAGCTTAGATTTCCATCTTGAGAAGGACTTACAAATTGTCCAGCACCGGTGGGCATCTCCTCTATGGCTGGCTTAGCACTTGGACCTCTCTTCGCTTCTCTACAACTTTCTCTTCTGGGCTGTATCATTATTCATTCACTACCATTTAATTTCCTATGCGTGCATTATCTGAGGAGAGAGAAGACACATTTTGTACTTTCACTTGCTCATCCATAGGAATACCATTTGGACAGAAGTGCTCTCTTGCTTTTCTCCTACCAAGATACTAGCAAAGGCCAGCCCATGTCATCTCTGCGCGCTAGACCCAGCCCTTCCATCAAGAGCGTGTGGGGGCCTGGCCATGACCCTCTGCTTCAGTCTGTCACAGCTCAGCTCTCCCTACCTCTCCTCCAGAGATGTCTATGCTCCTTCTCTCTGCCAGAACTGCTGCCTCCCACCCTTTCCCATCTCCCTGCTGTCTGCTCTGGCCGTTTTTCTCCTCTGTCTGATCATTGGTCATCCAAGTAGTTTCTACTATTCCTGCTGTTCCTTTAGAGAGAGAGTGATTCCTGGGCATCTGTACGCAAACATCATTATCCTAATTCCCCATTAGATAAATTCTTCTCCTGTACTTTGTTTCTTTAAGCACCTGATGCCCGTGCAGCAATGAGAGCAGAAACCGCTATCTCAAGCCTTGACCCAGAGAACAAATGGGGAAAAGGCTCATTTGACGCAAACCTAAAAGAAATTCTTAGGTGAAATTTCAGATGGCCAATGCTTAGCTTCTAGTAAGATGACTGCAACAGTGGGTGAGAGCAGATATACAATACGTCACCTAGCCTAAGTAGCAAGGTTTTCTATTATATTTTACCCTTTAAATTTGACCTTTATGCAATCTTCTTTTTTTGTTGAAAATTACTCAGCATTTAACCTAGCCAGGGAGCAAGAGTAACCTGCCCCATAGCCACAATATATGTAAGAAATGGGCCTGCTGAGAGTCTGTCTGGGGAACAAGGGGCACCACATGGAATTCCTGAGCAACATTTTTACCCTATATTGACCCTAGCATCCCTTACAACACCTGGATTTATCCAAGGAATTTACCTATCCAGAATCCCATCTGTACATCACAGCCATGTTTTCCACAGCCCCTGGCCCCTATAATCCTTGGGTCTTCTGAAATCCTTTGTCAAATATTCTAATGTGCTCCTCTCTACAGCCCATTTTTATATCTTCTGCTTATTAGCATGCCCCTTTTGCACTCTTGGTACTAATGAAGGATACGAAGTACTAAGATTCAGCTTCAAGATGACCTTGATAAGTTTGTGAAATGCTTCTTCCTTAGGTAAAACTGTGTTTTCCTTAGTAATTCACATGAAAACTCCAGTATTCCAGGAAACCAGAGTAAAGCAATCTGTGACTTTCCCTTGGCCACTCAAGACACGGTATCATCTCTACTGGCAGCATGGAGTCTGCTGAGCCCAGTTCAGTGTCCTCTTAATCCTCAAGCCCTTACCTGTTTTGCGATGAGAGCCACCTTCTTTTCTCCTTCCTATACACCCCTCCTAGGAACTGACATGGGCATGGTGACAGTGGTGTCAGCCAACCGAAGCAAGTCTTCTGGCTCTGTTTAACCCTCCGAGCTGAGAGTGGCTGAAGATGTGTTGGAGGGAGAAGGAATTTGCACCTATGCTCTTTGCTCGATGTCATCCTTCTCCACATGGGTCTCATTTTGGGGGGCTGAAGATGTGTAGCCCAGACGAGTAGACAAGGAGGAGGGAATTGCCCCTCAGGACACCAAGAACCTCTCTTCCTGTGCATTAAATCCTGCCTCTAACTTATCTTCATACTCTTTACCATTTGGACCTGCATATAACATGTACATTTGTAGGCAAGTGCTCCCTTTAATATTTGGGTAGAGGAAAGGTATAGGTATTACATGAGATAAAAAGAAGAATCATCTCCACAATTATGGTGTTTTTGATCAGACTACCTCCAGCAGATACAGCATGGCAGTCATCTTGTAGGGAGGTTAGCTGAGAAGAAATAAATGGAAAATGAATTTTTATGTTTCAGTACACACACATACAGACAGATACACACGTACACACAAGGATATCGAATATTTACCAATTATTAGGCACCGTGCTAGAGACTAGCACCTGCAGACTTCGGCTTTGGTGAAAGCCTGGTATGGCAGGGAAGAGAGAGGTTTCCTTCTTTCGTTCTAACGTTCTTCCTTCCCAGACATAGTGTTAACAGATTCACCCAAATCACAGCACCTTGTTGGTCAGACCACTGCTCCCAACTGGAGTGGAAATGGTAGGGCTTCTTCATGAGCATGGCAGATGCCCCCGGAACTCTTATGCCTGCTCCGTTCTGTCCCTCTCTTAACACTTTCAACTCCCATCCAGCAGTTATGTTGCCTCTGACAGTTAACTGCTTAGATTTTTCTGCTTCCAGTAAGTGCCCCTGGCTCCCATACCTTCACATCCCCCACCCAAGTCACTGTGACTTTCTTTTGCTTCTCTTCTTGTTCCAGCACATTCCCTCTAAGAGTCACTCCTCAGGTAAAGCATTTTAGTTCCCTCTGAGAAAATAGCCTCATGATCTTGATATGATCCAAAACCAGAATAAAACGAATCTTATCTATAACCTCTTCCCCTTGATACATAATTGTGGGTTTCATTATGCTGGCCCTAACCGGAAAGAATTAATTGATATCCATGTTTACTTCAATACAGTCTTAAAAGTTAGAAATTCTAGTCTCAATCAGGCAATAATTTTCTGGGCTGCATTTGAGGCAATCCTTAGGGTTACAGGATTTCTTGTTCCGCTCTCCACTTTCCAGATCATCACCGATGAATAAAGAAAATAAACCAACACAAAAGGCAGCAGCCATCACTCAGGCAAACAGTAAATGCATGGCACGGTTACCTCAGGAAAACTGCGGCGACCCTGAGCCTCCACAGAACAGTCATTTGGTCATTTGTAAGTTCTCTTTCCTCAGGCGTTCTTGATCTCCTGTGGAAGGAAAATGACCACCTCAGCCTTTGTCCACTAAGTGACCCGGCTTTTCTATACTCCCTTCCTCCTCATAGGAAGCTTAGCTCAATCTGCCCCCATCTCTGTCCAAGAGAGAGTGCCCAAAACTCACTTCCAGAACAGCAGGCAGTTTCTCTGATATCCTGAACTTCCAGATGCTTCTCCGTTCAAAAGCGTTTCATTGCAACTGACTTTTCAAGGCAGGTGCACCAATCCTGTACCTGGTCTCTTCATGGTACTCAGATATTTGGCTGACCCCAGCCCCCTTCTAACTCTCTAAGACATCATGGGTGTCCAACTTCCAAGCTTCCTTTACTCCAGATGACTGTTGGGACTGGACTATTGCCCAGGGTTCTGGAGCTTTCTTGACCTCGTCAGTTACTCCCAGGATTCTGCAGTCCTAGATTAAATTTACATAAACCAACTCCCTCTCAAAGATAATTTCTTTTTCTCAAAGGAAGTGTTCTCACTGACCCAGTTTTAATCACATACATAACTAAATCTGTACTTGAACGCACGTAAATATTTGGTTTAGGGAAAAGTTATCTTCCTGGTCAGAAATACTCTAAACAGTTGTGCTGTCCTGCATGTCTCTTCAGGGAACAACGCTTCAATAACTAAGACAGCTTGCTCAGTCACCAAATTGACATGTGACATAAGTTTTTATCACTTATATAATTATAGTAATACAAGAACTTATTTAAAATTACACAAACATTACTATAGAAAATCAAAAGGTTGTATTATTAAAGTAACATCTTCACAATTTCCATTATACATATATTTTTATCTCTCCTTGTCTTTATCTTCAAAAAGAGATATTTACATAGTTTGTAAGTAGCATGTGTGAAATTTTAGGGCCTTCATTTCTTCACTATATCACATTTTAATATGTCATGACAATCTTCTAAATTTCAACTGATTTGAATGAAAAATATTTTTTAATATAAGAAACATTATGACATTTATGTTACGTTATTTTCCCCCTCACTATATTCTTTAGCTCCATTCTTAGAAGTCAGATCATGCAATGAGAGGTTGAACATTTTAATAACCCGTACAATATCTTACCCATCCTTCCAAAGATATGGTATTTTTTTTTCCTACAACCAACAGAACATTGGTATGAGAATTCCTTTTGTGCAGTGTGAGAAGGAACGTTAATGAGGGTTCCCAAGGTAAGACTGATAAAATCATCTCTCAAATTCCCAGTCTAAGGTTCAAAATTTCTCTAAAGCAAGGCAGGTGGCTGTTTAAGCAAACTCTTTCTCTTGAACTTTCTACATATCAATTCCTCTTGTTCCTTTATTTTACAAGATCATAATTCTAAGACTAATACCTAAGTGACAGTTTGGAAATACAATCCTCTTCTCTCTCTATAGCCTACCTTGGATCTAAAGAAAAAAGCAAAATTTGAAAAACAATTTTTCAAAAATAAAAACTATCTCCTCTTATGGAAACCACTGAACAACTTTATGACTTTATTTCATTAAATATTTGAAAATAATTGAACACACTTCTAAAACTAAATATGTAACTTTTTTCAGTATATTTCAGTGATACAAATGTGTGTATATATATTCACACACACAACCCATGTTGACAGTATGCAAAGATCCAAACAATGCAGACAATGTCTGAAATAATGTTACGGCCAGCCAAGCTTCCTAATGTCTTGCAGGGAGGGACTGTCTGATCTCTAGAGTGGAGAGAATCCATCAACTTAAGTTTGACTCAATAGCAAAACTACTATATCACAAGACAAGGTTAATTTTAGTACAGCCACTTCTTTCTCACATTTCTCTCTTACCCCAACCTCTCCTCAATTTCTTCACCTCCTAAGTCTATCAGACACTCGTGTTTGCATTTTAGGGACTACAGTCTTGAGGAAAACACTGAACCAAGCTTTCGGAAGTGCTGCTTCACCTCAACTGTATGAGTCATGCAAGCATCGGCAGAGCACTGCTTTGGTTCCCCAGAAACTAACAGAAACAGAAGATTCAGAACGAGAAATAGGAAGAAAAATAGAGGAGAAGAGAAACGTTCTCCTTTCCCAATTAAAAATTGGCTGATGTGTAGTGGCACCAGGAAAACTCCTGGAGTAAGTTACGGCGTTCTTTACTTACATGATTACTGTTAACGTACTTATTGTGTTGTAGCTAAGATTCCTGCAAAGGACACCATTTGTTCAGTAAAGCTGTAAAAAGTACTCCAGATGTACTCTAGACAGACGTGTCAGCGTTGATGCTGAGTGGAAGATGAGGACTAGAAATATGGGGTAAGTCCCTTGAGCTAATCTTTGAAAACTGATTTTCAAAGAGGAGAGATTGGTTGAAATTCTGTTGGCTATATTCAGATCTCTGCTTATGAATATTGGTCTTGTGATTTGAACTTGGCTTCCTCCGGTCTATTTGTGGGTGGTATGGTCAATAATAATAAGAGGTTGTTTTAAAGTTCATTTCTCAATTTTGAAATTCCTTATCACTTAGAATGGACACAGTTTTGAGGAAAAGTGCAGCAAGTCAAAGACAGCAAATCTTATTATTTTATTGCATTTTCCAGTAAGCGGACTCACTACTTGTTACTTATTACTCACTAGTGGAATAAGATCCATACATGTGAAAATGAAGAAAGAAGGGAAATAATTAAAAGAACGAAGGAAAGAAAAGGAGAAAAAAGGGAAAGAAAATGAGATTTTTTTCCTTTAGATTATTTTCAGCATACATTAAGGTAATGTGCCCAGGCTTTTAAATTTCATAGACCTGCAAAAACATTTTGTTCCCTCTTCCTATTGCTCACTTCTCTGCATAAAGGCATTGTAAAACACACATTATTGTCAGTATCTTCTTCATTTTTTTCAAACCACCAATAATTCTTTGTGATTATGTTCATCTTATATGCAATTTCTCTGGATATCCACCAGTGTGTTTACAGGCTACATAATTCCTCATTTTCTCACCTCATTCATATCTATTTTCTACTATTTCTGTTATTACCAATCTCTTCCTTGTACTAAAGAAGAAATAGCTAAACAATTTCTCAGACTTTTTTTTCTCCTTCAAGAAAGAAGTACCTACAAACTTATTCTTATTGGGCAATTTAGTGATCATAATTTTCCCTTCAGTTGAAATTTACATTTAAATTTTAAAAAAGAAAAGTAGGCTGACTGCTTGGAAAAATGATTTAAATTCAGCAATCAGGGCTACCAATTGACAGATCAGAATCGTACCTGCATCATTACTATAGAAATCAGATTGAGTGTGTTGTGGTCACCCCACAGAGGCAGGATGTATCCCAGAATCGGTTTGGATGCTGAGATTGATGATGTCACATATGCACTAAGAGGATAAGAAAATATTTCCTCCAAACATATCCAAATATGGTTTGAGAAAGAAGGGAGGGGTGACTGGCTTAAGGTGTTCTGGTGATTGGGGGGCACGGCTGGTGTAAAGCTTCTGCAGTGGGACTTGGGTGTTTTGAACTTCTCACTGGTGACCAAGGAAGGAACACTCAGTCTTTCTTATCAGATTGCCCAGATAGAAGAGGAAAGGGCAATGGTGAGGCTTGAAGGCTATCAGCAGTCAAACATCAAAACTGGAATCAGAATCTTTATCACAAGTGATGAAAGATATTAAGAAGACTTCTGAAATGGAAGAAGCTATAGAAATGTATAAACAAATAAAATAAATTAGCTTTGAGTTCAGCCGTCACATGTGCTTGATTACATCTTGCCTTTTAAATGTTTCATAATTGTCTTTTTTCTACATCGAAGAGATGGATGCACGGTGATTAAAGTGCTCTGCCTCCCCTACTCTAAGCATCAGGGCTCGTTCATTCATCTGACTGGTTGGATAGTCATCCTTTACTCACTTATCGCTCTATGATCAATGAGAATGAAATATTCAGAGGAAAAATATTCAGCTGAAATATAAGCAATACTAAAATATGGATTATGTCTGCTTAAAAAGGGTTCTCCCTATACTGGATAATAATTTTGCAATGATAAAAGACCATATTAATCAATGAGTTAACCAAAATTAGTAAATTAAAAGTGCTGGGAGAATTAGTTAGAATTTGAAAGGGAAAAATCTTCTCAGATTCTTACCTCATGCTAACACTGACAGTGATTCCAGATTTAATGTGAATACAATAAATTTTGTAAAGCTGAGAATATTCAGCAAATTATCACAGAAAATATGACTCTCCAGGTTAGAAATCAGCACACTGGAAGATTATCAAACTTGATGACATGAAAACACCACTCGTGCTGTGAGTCATACGGTAACAACAATAACAAGAGTAGTAACTCCTGTGTCAGGACGTAGTCATAATTGAAAGAATATAACACATTGAAAAAATGTGCACAATTAACATTTTATGTACATAGAGCTTACAATTTATAATAAGAAGACTTCAATAGCTAATTAGACAAAGAAAATTTATAAACAGATAATTTTAAATGAAGAAAGCAAAAACAGTAGTGTTAGCACCCAAGGCAGGTCGTCTGCTCACTGCAAGACATGTCAATAGTTAGGAGGCAAGGTGGTGGAGAGAAATGGTTTTTATTACAGCTTGTTAGCAAGTGGGAAGATGACCAACTAATGTCTGAAAGAACCATCTTATAGAACAAAGACTATAAGCCAGTTATATACTGGGGCTGGTCTCCAGGAGGGGGAGGTGTCTCATCTCTGTGTGGGGCCTCCATCTGATCTCTGAGTGGGAACAGATGTCAGATCCCAGTTCCTGATAATCCATTCTTCTGCTGGATATGCATCAAAGACAGGAGCAATGCCCTATACCCTGATCTTTCAGTGGTCATTGAAGACGGCTATCAGCATAGGCTCTCTGCCCGGGGGTCATCACATTCCTAAGAAACTCAGAAGAACAAAGTTATCATCTTAAAGCAGCTAGGAGGGGCCACAAAAATCTACAGAGCCTGTCTGGGCCAGTTAGTCAGACATCATTGAAAGTCACAACATGGTTTCTTTTCTACAATATAACTTCCCTTTTGTCAACATTGTGTGGAGCCGGTATTAACAGGAGACAGGATGATCTTAATACAGAAAAAAAAAATGAAAAAAGAGAAAGAGAAAGAGAGAGAAAGAAAGCACTGGGTGGCAGTTTTTAACTGCAGTAATTGAAGAATAATTCTATAACACTCAGTCCAGACCAGTGTAAGGTGAGGTGGGCACACTACTCACGTGTTGCTATTAGAATCCTGAACAGGGACATTTGAATAAGCAACCTATCAAACTATATCCAGATCCTCAAAATATATGTTCATTTAGTCTCAGTAATTCAACTTCTGGTAACATCTTACGGTTGAATA